AAGAAGAAGAAGAAGAAGAAGAAGAAGAAGAAGAAGAAGAAGAAGAAGAAGAAAAAGAAGAAGAAGAAGAAGAAGAACAACAACAACAACAACAACAACAACAACAACTCTGGGTCCTAGGTAGAAAAAATGGGGAGGCCTGACCGCCAACATACAACAAGAACAACAATAATAACAACAACAACAACAGCAATTACAGCAACAGCAGAACCCACCCCCAAAAAACAAAAACAAAAAAACCCCCGAAAAACTACATAACACATGTATAACACAAGGAACCGTACGAGTACAATCACCAGCAACTCTTGGTCTAAAACTTAAGAGGGATCCCCCCTAAAGAAAGGGGCTGATAATGTAGGCAAACAAACAACGAGACTGAAAAGGTTAAAACTATAACCACGTACGTAATTAGTAAAGTCGTCGTGAGATCAATAATCGAAGAGATCATGATCGACCAACATAATAACAATAGTCACTTCAACAAGTCAGAGACTGGTGTGCTTTTTCTTTTCTTTTGTCTTCATTTAGATCTAGTTCTAGTTGTTGTTTTTTTTCAGTGTGTAATCGTAATGCTTTTTTTTGTAGTGTTTTGGTTTTGTGGGTTACCAATCACGTTTGAGTAGGACTGATACTGATATGAGTAAACAGGCATATGATGTATTATTATTTTGTCCCAATTAAAAACAACAATAGATTTTAAAAAACAACAACAAAAAAACAATAAGATGTTCAAGACGTTTCCTGTATAGTAAAGGTCAAGGGCTGAAACTATTAGATCTATAGTTAGTCTGGACAAAAAGCTTGTTGTAGTATGAACGAGTTTCACGAATTGAATTTGAATGGAACCACAGAATTCTACGACTTAGTGTAGAATTCTGTGAATGGAACATCTCGTAGATGTGCTAATTTGTCGTGCAAATAGCTAGGCTGCTATCCCAGACGAGTAACTTTTAAATAAATGAGTTCAGTTGACTGCTTCCGGCCAAACATTTCTCTGTGAAAGCAGTGATCCAAGATTTGTAATTTTGTAAACAAGAAGTGCATCGTGCCGTGGCGTGGGTCTGCTGGTCCACAACGACGTTCCAGTTTCTTCCATTGTTACCTGAACGAAGTGAACTCATAGGGTGGGTGAACGAAAATGCTCACAATTCCAACACTATTGAAGGCTACGATAGTAAGTCTCTCGAAACAATCAGTTCAATACAATCAATAATACAGAACCAGTCTTGAGTCTTGACAAGCAATGACTCTTGATGAATCGCGTTACTGTTCACTTTCCTTCATATTCGATCCTGTCTCCTGTGTCTGTGTCTGTTCTGTGGTACTGTGGTGTAATGCACCGGATCTAGGCTCTCTACTCTGCCTCTAAACTAAAGATATTAAGATAGGGAGTGTATACAGACCCGGTAACCGGGAACAAAGTCACAAAGTATACAGACCCGGTAGGGGAACTCTTTTGTCTTTTGTGATTTCGGAAAGTTTCAGCGCCCTCTTGGCCTTGGCTCAGGTCAGGGTAGACCACAGAATTCTACACTAAGGTAGACCTAGGTTCTTCTAGATCTATTCTATGGCCTAGAATCTAGGTCTAGATCTAGACAGACAGACTGACAGACATAAAAAAATCGAAGTGACTATTTCTCCGAACGTTCGGAGAAATAGTGCCGATCTTTATTTCTCCGAACGGTTTTCGGCTTCCGGTCTCGTGATTTTTTGCCTATTTATTGCGAGAGTTCGGCGCCAAGTTTCATTCTGCCTCTGGTCTGGGAAGGAACACGTACCGCATGGCAAGCCCGCCTACAGACAACCTTCAGTAACACCCACCACCATCATATTCATGCACATGTACACACACTAACTAAACATAACTAGTGGGCAACTTTTGAACGTATGACGAGCTGAACTGTGGATGGAGAGACAGTGTGAGTGAAAGAGCGGGTGAAAGGAAGAATGTGCGAGTGTATCCACAGGCGACAGCAACTACAAGACGACGACACTGACCACCCCTGGCCTGGTCCACAGCTCACGAACAAAAGGAATGCAGCTCAGGCGGTGTTTTGCCTATATTATTGTCCATGGTTCGCAGGGAACAAGTGAGATTTTCTTTGTGTGTGCCTGGAGGGATGGGGTGGGGTATGAAAGTCATGCGGACGGGGATGAGCCGCGGGAGAGAACACGGAAATTGAATGAAAGAGTGAAACTGAAAGAGACGAATGACTCATGAGTCCTGGAGTGAATGGATCCTGTGTTTCTATTTTTGTATACTTTGAACTGTTACTGAATAAAGGCTGAAATAAAGCCCGAAAAACAAACAAACACTCCTCACTCTCCACTTACTACCACACACAGACACACTCAAACACTCACACATACACACACACACACACACACACACACACACACACACACACACACACACACACACAGGAGCAAATTTTTGGGTCTATATCTATTTCAATTTTCAACAGCTAGTCTAGATGAGATTTTTAGATGAGTGTAAAAACGTGAAAAAAAAAGGTTTCACAACAGAAAGAAATCAAAATTAGAACAGCCCATAAACAACAACAAACATTAACAAATAAGGGCGTGTGTCCACCTGTCCGAAGAAGATTGGCAGTTTTAACCCTAAATGTGCGTAATTTTAAAAAAAGTACAGGATATTACATGTAAATTATGGAATCACACACATTAAGGGGCTTGCCAGTGTCAGTAGGACCTACATTGGTCGCAGCAGTGACAAACGCAGATGCCAGTTCTATGTGTCGTTATCAATAACCCTCCGTAGATCTAGATCTAGACAGCACACGAGTGAACACAACACATTACGTTTAAAAGCAGCACCTTTCATAGGCAACACGTCATATCTATAGCGAAAAACTGTTTGGAATTGTAGCATTTCTTTATATAAATATTTACGGCGGACATTTTTTGGACCGATTGAACCATATTGTATACGAACAATCTTTGGTAGGCCCATACTATAATTATATAGATCTATATAATATCCGAAATTTGGGGGAAAGGATGATATTTCAGAGTGTTCGGAGAAATAGTGCCCAGCTTTATTTTCCTGAACGTTCGGAGAAATAGTGCCCAGCTTTATTTTCCCGAACGTTCGGAGAAATAGTGCCGGCCTAAAAAAATAAAGGGAGTGTATACAGACCCGGTAACCGGGAACAAAGTCACAAAGTATACACACCCGGTAGGGGAACTCTTTTGGGATTTCGGAGAGTTTCAGCGCCCTCTTGGCTCAGGGTAGACCTAGGTTCTTCTAGATCTATGGTCTAGGTCTAGACAGACAGACATAAATCTTTCATCTAGTTTCGCGGCTAACCTAGATCTAGATCTAAATGAAGATTGCGGATGTCGTTTCGATGAACGATTGTTTTTCCTTTGTTTTGGAATTGGAGGAATCACAATCCGAAGAAAAGAACTAGTTACAATGTCATAATTTCAATCGAGCAGCCTCTCTCTCTCTCTCTCTCTCACACACACACACACACACACACACACACACACACAAAAGATTTCTACCGGGTCCACAGAATTCTACACTTCTAAGTGTAGAATTCTGTGACCGGGTCTGAGGTCTGAAACTTCCCGAAATCACAAAAGAGTTCCCCTACCGGGTCTGTATACTTCGTGACTTTGTTGTTCCCGGTTACCGGGTCTACACTTCGAAAAATAAATCATTGATCTTGTTTCGAGGCTAGCCTAGATCTAGATTTTCTAGATCTAGAATCTAGATCTATATATATAATCTAGATCTAAATGAAGATTGCGGATGTCTTATCGATGAACGATCGTTTTTCCTCCGTTTTGGAGTTGGAGGAATCACAATTTGAATCGAAAGTGGCTATTCTCACCCGCCCGGAAGTTCTCGCAAGATCAACTCCTCCCCTATTCTTTCTCTCTCTGTCTCTTTCTGAATACTCTGTCTATCGGTGTGGACGATCAAATTGACCAAAACAAAGTTAAAAAATGATGTTAAAACACAAAAGTAAATTAATTTGGTTGTCTACAAAGATGCTACAGCTATTTAACTTTTCGAATCGAGCCGAACTACGCGGGTCGCCATTTTGTTTTGCCCGGAAATTCTCGCGCTACTCCTCTCTCTCTTTCTCTCTCTCTCTCCACTGCCCACAGACAAAATTGTACGCTTTTAGTAGGCTACAGTTGTAATGGAACGTTTGTTCACGGCACAGAATTCTACAATTTTTCCTCACAGTGTAGAATTCTATGGTTTAGGGTGAACGCAAAATTTGGTGAACGCGCACCGGGTGAGAATAGCCACAAGACTCGCCTGCACTATTCTCACTCCGGGTGAGAATAGAGGTGGCCATTTGAATCATAAATTTCAATCGAGCAGTCCCCTCTCTATTTCTCTGCCCACCCCCCACCCCCTCTCTCTCTCTCTCTCTCTCTCTCTCTCTCTCTCTCTCTCTCTCTCTCTCTCTCTCTCTCTCTCTCTCTCTCTCTCCTCTGTCTCTGTGTATCGCTCGCATACTCTTTTTCTTTGTTTGTCTCTGTCTTTCTTTCTTCCCACCTATTTCACACTCTATCTTTCTCTCGTTCCCTCCTGCTAACTAGGGTATGTTATAAGGCCGTTGTTATTCGGACTCGAGTCCGAATATGAAAAAATGTTATTCGGACTCGGGTCCGGAAAAAAGGAAGTGTCTTCGTTCTATAGATCTAACGTTCAGGGCTTCCCATTTTCCGCCATTTTTTAGTTTCCCCCACACCTTTTCTGCCGATCCGATGCCCGCCACCTCATTGATACGCCCCCCCCCACACCCCCCATGTTTTCCACTTTCTTTGTTGTAGAAAAAGGTAAAATTGAAGATTAGCAAACCACTTGGCACCTGCATTATTATGAGCTGTGTGAAAAAAAAAAGACTGATTCGTTCAAATACACAAGCCTGTGTCATCTCGATTGTTTACCAAGAAAAAGTTGTTTGCTGTGTAGAGCTGAGCATACGGCTACTTTTGATTCCATAGACCAGTGCACAATTTATTGCGTAGATCTACGTCAAGACTAGCTTATTATTGTAATAATGATCAGTTGCCGGGGGAAAAAAGACTGACGGGTATGCGACGTTCAACGCCCGATAGTGCCCCCCCCCCCTCCACGACACGCACACAGCCACACGTGTGCAGGCCGCCCATCCGACCCCGACACACGCTAACGAGCCATCTTTAATTGCTTCTGATGACCTCTTGACAAATACACATTTATTAAAAGCGCTATTACTTTTCAGGCCGGCCTCAAATTCATCATAAGATAAAAAAACTCGGCTCCTGCTCAAAACACCATTTTGCCCGAAGCGATCCCGGTCTCTACCCAGCCTGAGGCGAGTCATGAGTGAGGCAGGACAGGAAGCCGGAGTCACGAGTCACAGGAAGTCGGAAGTCGGAAGTGATGTCATGCTGGTCAAGAATCAGAGTCCGAATAACATTTTTTCATATTCGGACTCGAGTCCGAATAGTCACTTCGATGTTATAATATACATTTTGCTAGCACTTCTCTCCTCTCTCTCTCTTGCTCACACACACACACACACACACACTCCCAAACACACACTACCGGGTCTGGGCACTGAAACTTTCTGAAATCACAAAAGAGTTCCCCTACCGGGTCTGTATACTTCGTGACTTTGTTCCCGGGTCTGTATACACTTCGATTAAGATAATATTAGGAAGGAAAAGTCAGTTTAAAGACTACTCTACTTTAGATTTTTTAGGGAGGACTTCCGTAACGAGCGACCACTATGACATGAGACAGAGCAGAATTGAGGGGTAGGGGTAGGGTTAAGGTTAGGGTTAGGTCTAGGCCTCTTCTTTATTGGGTTTGATGGGGTGGTCGCTCGTTACGGAAGTCCTTCCATTTTTTAAGTCCATACAGTTATTTATATAGATTCTAGATCTAGATCTATGCGATTAAACGCAAACTATTTTTAGGTACGGAGCCCATCTTGTTTGACGTCAGACAAGGATTTCCCTCCGATCACGTGACTACATATATAAGTATAGCCAACCGCATGGCACCAGATGGAAGTGTACGAAAATTGCCGTAAAGACGCTGGAGGATAAGGTCTAGATCTATCTAGATCTATCTAGATCTAGATATAGATCTCCCCCCCCCCCCTCCTCTCCTGCATTCTTCATCACCTAAACATT